AGAAGTGTGAGAATGGTAGTTTTAAATTCTCGATTGGAAAAGAAACTTAACATCGATCCCATTTCTTTGTTCCTGCCTCTACAGCCTATCTTCCACCCCACTCCCGAGGATGTGAGCATATCCTACCTTCCCTTGGCCCACATGTTTGAGAGGGTTGTTCAGGTGAGTGTCCTGTGTGCCGAGTGGGTAGGAAAGGGGATTCCTGACTTGTTGGTTCCACATCTATTCAAAAGTCAGAGATGCAGCACAGTCCCGGTCTTTGCTCTAGTGAACCAAGCACAGGCAATGCCACTGGACCCTGCATCCTAATCATGGCAGCAGCCTGACCTCCTGAGGTCATTCATGTAGAGCTCTGCATGCCTAAAGAGGGTAATACTTGCTCCTGACTTCTCAGGGTGCATGCTGTCTGTCTTTCCTTAACCCTGCGGTGACTCACCAGACGCTGGGTCTTCTTTTTTACTTCTATGTGGGTGAACATTTTGAGAGGATCGAGGGTTAGGGAAAAAGGTGTTCCCAGTGGGCCAGGGAAGGAACATTTGATCCGGATCAAGGGCCAGCTATCCCCAAAGAACATTTTTATCCCTCACTTGAGTAAGGTGGTATTGCCAGGCACAGTGTGCGTCCCTTCTGGGAATGGTCCCCGAAGTTTCCAGCTGTTCTAAAGCAGATGGGTGAGTAAGAAGCAGTGGCCTTCCACAGCCTCCAGAGCTGCGGTGGGAGCCTCTTTACTCTCTCTTCCCTGGGCAGCTCTTTACCCAGTATACGATCAGTTGACGGACACGATGCCACATCGATTCTAATACAGCTTCACATATATTTTAGCATTTCTCAGTCTGCGATGGTCTTAACTGAAGGCACGTTTTCCCCTCTTTTAACTGGCAGCGGGTGTTCTTAGTGTCACAGATGAGCATTTCTTAGGAAGGGTGGTATCTTAGACTGGCACACAGAGCTGGGGTAGTGTCTTAGGGTGGGACCCACAGTCTCACAGTTTGTTATCTGTCTTGCCACCTCAACAGTAATACGTTTTTCTCTTTTCTTGTGAGGAGTCTCTCAGAAATACCTGGGTATCTGGGTTGGTAGGAAGCAGGTGATAGGCAGAGGAAAGGGCCTGTGGGTTACAGCTTACTTTCTTAGTCCCATTGAAGATAGGCCCCACCTGTAGTGATCCCTGGCCCCGCCTACAGTGATCCATGGCTCTGAGCCTTGTCTTCCATCTTGTTCCAGGCTGTCTTATTTTCCTGTGGAGGCAAAGTTGGGTTCTTCCAAGGAGATATCCGGTTGCTGCCTGACGACATGAAGGCTTTGAAACCCACAGTGTTTCCCACAGTACCTCGACTCCTTAACAGGGTCTATGATAAGGTATGAGCCCTGTTCTGTTGGGATTAAGCTGAGAGACTCTGAGGGACAGCCATTAATTCCACCTCTATCCCAGCCCCAATAAGTATTGTCAGAAGCCAAGTTACAACTGTAACCATGAGAAGCCATAAGAAATATATCACCCCTCTTAGTCTGGATAATATTGCTTATCTGAGGAATAACTACACTCAAACTTAGGGGAGCACCTCAATTTTTAACCAATACCCTGGAAAATTCTTACCCTGATGTATATTAGCTAGTGAATTAACATTGTGCTGAGGTATCAGATCGAGGTAAACATTTCAAATGTGTTCACTTATTTAACACTTCTAGGAAAAACAGAAACAGACTTGGATGTTAAAGAATTTCCCCAGTCATAATGATAGGGAGAAGTAGCAGAATAAACTGTCACTTAGTCTTTCAGTCATCATAGAGCATTGCTCACTGAGGTTGCAAAATGGTGGCTTTCCTAATTCTAATTCTTATTTCTTTTATAATCCTTAGCTAACATTCTGTGATAAAGGCCCCAAAAATATTTGATTCTCTCCTTAATTTATCACTCATAAGTATAATAAATTCAAGCCCCAGAAATTCTCAAAAGTAGCCAGTGAGAATCTTTTTGCATTATAGCGAACTCATTTCTTATTTCTATTTTTCCATCCATCTTAGTTATTCATTTTGATGTCCCAAGTTTGCGCATCAAATTCTTGTATGTCCTTTTGACATGACTTCAGTAGTCTATGATGGGTTCCTTGCTTTTTGATACAAGATATTCTAAGCTCGATTTCTCACCTAAGTCTTAGATTGGCTAATTTCTGCAACTGGTCATTGAGAGCTTGGATCTGAAGTCAGGCAATATAATATTGTTGTGGGATGCCCTTATGTATGCTGTGAATACTTTTTATTACTATTGGTTAATAAAGAAGCTGATTTAACCAATAGCCAGGAAGAATAGCCCGGCAGGAAATCCAAGCACAGATAAAGGGAGAAAGAAGGCAAAGTCAGGGGAAACACCAGCAGTTACCAAAGGAGTAAGATGCCAGAGCATTACTGGGAAATCACAGGGCATGTGTCGATACACAGATTATTAGAAATGGGTTAACTTATATGTAGAGCTAACACTGAGAAGCCTAAGCCATCAGCCAAACAGTTTGTAATAATAGTAAGCCTCAGAGTGCTTATTTAGGAACTGGCAGGCAGGAGAGAAACCTCCAGTTCCATTATAGTACCTGTTATTCCATAGACCTGGAGCCCGAGGAACTAGCAGGCAGGAGAGAAACCTCTAGTTACATTATAGTACCTGTTATTCCATAGACCTGGAGCCCGAGGCAGTGATGCCATTACTCATATGCTTTGGGCCTTACTTCTGATTCTGATATTGCCATTCAGTCTTACCAGAGGCCAAACTGAGCCATAGCAAGAATGGAGTGTTCTAGAATACGGATGATGTGCAGACACGGGAAGCACTGTTACTAATTCTTCCAATTCTTCATCAGACTACGGAACCATTAGGTTGGGTTGGTAGGGTTTTTGTTTGTGTTACTGAGCTCTTTTATATTTGAGAGAAAGTATTTTGAATATTAAAACAAAATAACTTGAATCTGGAGCTTATTTAGTAAGATGGAGATTTTTATTAGATGAATTTCTGGTCATAGCTTTCTGCCGGTGATGTTGGGAGAGCTAGTCCTATGGCTGCTGAAGGCAAGCAGTCTGTGGTTGAGGGGCATCGGGCCACCATGATGTCGGCAGCATCTAGTGTACTTCAGAATCAAATGGGGAGACAGGGCTAAATGATGTCACAAACCTGAGCAGATGCTCACAGCTGTAACTAGGGAGTGAGCAGGAACAGAAGCACAAGCCGAGAGCAGCATCCTGCACATCCTGAACTGGAAAGAGCTCCAATGTCCACGAGTGCAACTATCAGTATAGAAAGGTCCTGAAGCTTGGAGTAGAGGTTCCTGTGAGCTGCGCATGGGGTGCTCTTCTCATAGAGGACTGTGGTCGATAGATCAGAGCTACAATGCCAGGGTCATGAAAACAGGAAGATAACATAGATGGGGGGAAATGATATTAAGGGTGTAAGCCCAAAGAGGAGAAAGATGTCATTAGGGATTTCTGTTGGATTTTGTATGATGAGCCTAAAGGACATTTGTTATAAAGATAATAATAAATTCTCCAGATTTAGAGGATGTGAAAACGTCCCTGAGGCAGAGGAGAAGTGGTATCAAGTTTTAAAAGTCAGATTCCTAAACCTTTCTCTGGGCTTTTAAATCAAAGGGGGATCATGCCGACGGAATGATTTCCTATCTGACTTTTAAATCAAAGGGGGATCATGCCGACGGAAAGATTTCCTATCTGACTTTTAAATCAAAGGGGGATCATGCCGACGGAATGATTTTCTATCTGACTTTTAAATCAAAGAGGGATTGTGCCAAAGGAATGATTTCCTATCTGACTTTTTAACCAGTGGTGGTTGTGGCCATTGTATTTGTTTATCTCAGTTGTCAAAGTTGTTCCCCAGGGACTAGGAGTCTGCACGGGCTGGGGCTCTACATTATGGAGCAACTTCACTTGTTTCAGAGTGTGGCCATGGTTCTGTGGGCTTATTAGTAAGCAACCTAGTTCATGAGTGTGGGCTGCTTCCTTCTGAAGCATGATGTCAGCATCTTGGCTACTAACACATGGTCTTATTCCCCCCCACCCCACCCCCAGGTACAAAATGAAGCCAAGACACCCTTGAAGAAGTTCTTGTTGAACCTGGCTCTCATGAGTAAATTCAGCGAAGTGAAAAATGGCATCGTTCGTCGGAACAGTTTGTGGGACAAGCTGGTATTTTCAAAGATCCAAGTAAGTTGAATGGATCCTGGAGCCCAGAGCTGGATGCTACTCAGCACCGTCCTCTTCAGGTTTCAGGGACGCCCTAACTAGAGATCATCTTAGATCTTCTATGCCCATTCACACCTTTTCTCTTTGTGCTTCTTTCCCTTTGTGTGCAGATGTGTGTGGGGTGCGGGTGCTGGCAGGGAAAGCATGTGCCGTGGTGTATGTGTAGTGTGTAGATATCAAGCCTCATTGTCACCTTGTCTAAGACAGGGTCTCTCTTGTTCACTGCTGCATACACGAGGCCGCTAGTTGGCTGATAGCTTCTGGGGTTTCCCATCTCACCAGAGAAGAGAGTTGTGCGTCACGGCACCTGGCTTTATTTGAGTTCTGAGTGTGTGAACCCTGGTTTTCACGCTTGCACAGCAGGTGCCTCACCCACTGAGCCACCTCCTAAGCTCTGCTGTTACCTTTTGAGATCACACTTGTGATCTCCTTTGCCACCAAGGAGATGTGAGAAAGCACAGCAGTTTGTATGTAGGTGTTAGCACTCTGTATAATTGTCGTAACCTGTTCTGTTGAGTTTATAAGTGATCGAAGAACTTAACAAAAACACACAGAAGTTCTCCCAGGCACGGCTGGTGACGACTCTGATAGGCGGCACAGCATTCAAAGTGATTTTTCTAGTGTCAGGCTGTAGTGTAGGTGTTTATAAACCAACCAGGTCAGACAGCTGGCTAGAATGCACTTTCACCCATCCTGCTGTAGTGGAAAATGAAGCCAAGAACAGAAGCTCAACAGCTGCTTTTGTTTCCACCGAACAGAATGGCCTGGGCGGGAATGTTCGCATCATGATCACTGGAGCCGCCCCCATTTCCACTCCAGTCCTGACATTCTTCCGGGCTGCAATGGGGTGCTGGGTAAGACTTCGTGTTTACATCAATGCTATCTGCGCACTGTTTAAATAAAAAGGAAATTGTAAGTGAAAAGTACTAAAGAGAGGGTCACCCCAAATCTTAGACAACAGGAATCTTTACACAAATGGAATCGGTATTCCAAAACACCTCTTGCCTCATGCTCCAGCTACCGCAGTCCTTACCCAGCAGAGGGCCGTTAGTGTCATTGGAGGCTTTCACGACAGCTTGCTGAGATCACAAGATGCTGAGCCACCCTGGTAGACACTTCTGCCCACAGCCATAGCACGGGGATGGCAGTCAGAGGACGCTTTACAAGTTTTGGTTCTCTTCTTTCGCCATGTGGGTTCCCGGGGTACAACGCAGGACCTCAGGTTTGGCAGTTAATGCCTTTACCTACCTTGCCAGCCTTGTCTATTACATGGTAATGTGTATCACCAGCTTTCAGGCAGGTCTGTCTTTTTAATACATTCAGGCAGTACCCGAAGCACCATTCCCCACGCTTGCTGGTGATAAGGTTTCCAGTCAGTTAGTTGCCTCTAAATGAGATCCTTCAGTTCCTGCTGTTTCTTTTATTGACAGCAAACTTCCCCGCCCACTGGCACCTGCAGTTCTTCTCTACGAGCCCCTTACAGAAGCAGGCAAAGGGAGACTTAGTTTCCTTGCTGATCTCTAAGAGTTCTTCATATACTTAAAACTAATCTCTGCTGTGCTAGACTTTTTCCCAGTCCATCTTTGTTCTTTTGCCTTGCTCATAGCAATATAAAGACTGAATTGATATGAAGGCCAGTTGACGTATGTTTTTCTCTCGTGTTTTTTTTTTTAGTTGCCGAGACCAGCCTTTCCTATTATTCTTTTAAATTTTTTGTTGTTGATTTTTGTTTAAATACTTTTTTAAAATTTCATGTATGTGGGTATTCTTCCGCATGCATGCACGTTGCCCTCTGAGGCTGCTGCATCCCTAGAGACTGGAGTCCAGATGGCTTTGAGGTGCTGAGAACTGATCCTAGATCAGCTGCTGAGAACTGATCCTAGATCTTTGGGGAGGTAGCCAGCCAACACTCTTAACTTCAGCCATCTCTCCAGCCCTGATAAACCTTTCTAATCCCTAGGAATTTTTAAGACTATCTGTGCCCACATTTTCTGGTAGTTTTATGGATTTACTTTTTGTTTTTTTTAAAAATTTATACCTCACCCATCTATAATGTATAGATCTGGCCTCTCTCCCATTCCAAACAGGTACCCAACTTGCTGATTCAGCCACCCATGCATCACAATCAAAATAGAAAACAGATACAGGCATACCTTTACAGACAACGTTCTGGTACCAGTCTGGTACCAGTCAGTGATGGGGCTTTAGGGTTTCAAACTGCCATCCTCTTGGCCATTTTTAGTACCTTTCTTTCCTTCAGCCCCAAAGACTAATATAAAGTCCTGCTTCCAACCCCTTCCCTGCAATATCTCCTGTCAGCATCTCTCTATTTCTACCAACCCTGCCAACTGCAGGCCACACCTCTGACTGCAGTGGCCCTATCAACTTGCTTCCAGCCACCAGCCTTTCTTTGGTCAAGATTATCTTCTCTGTGAGGGCTGGCAATTATAGCACTACCCCACTGCTACCCCAACTACTCCTGTAGAGTTGAAAAGGTACAGAACTCAGCTGACCCCGTTCATTTCTACAAGGTCTGTGGCAGCTTTTATGCCACATTGGTAGGGTTAGGTGGTTGAGGCAGAGAGCAGATGTCTCACAAAGCACAGAATCTTCAGTCTTGCCCTGTGCAGAAAGTTTGCCAACCCTTGGTCTTTATCAAAGCTAGAGCTCTTTCCTCAAGAAGCATGCTACCGTGTTTCCCATGACCTTCAGAGTTGCTCTGCTGCCCAGGCTAAGTCTAATGGCCACTGGCTGTCTATCACCTACTGCCCAGGCTAAGGCTAATGGCCACTGGCTGTCTATCACCTACTGGATGATTTGCATTCCTCACCTACAGTTTTCATGTAGGTTTCTATACTCTGTTTCTGAATTATTTTGTTTTGTAATGAGCTCCCAGTTGTGAAGAGTAAGCAGCTGAACATGCTTTCAAGATGTCCCCAAACCATCTCCAGCTCTTGTTGCTATTTCCCATTTTCCTGCAGACGGCACAGGCAGTCACACTTACCTTAAGCCTCAAAGCTCTTCTTTGGTTTCCCAGGTGTTTGAAGCTTATGGCCAAACAGAATGCACAGCTGGATGTACAATTACATCACCCGGCGACTGGACAGCAGGTGAGTTTTCTAGCTGTTGGTTGGGAGAAGGCTTCTAACTGAACCCTGGTCTGGGGTTTAGATAATTTTGGTGTTATGGATAAATATGATGAATGACAAACTCAAGTCCTGTTCCCATGCTTCCAGTCAATCCCATAAACATCTTCGAAACACCCTTGCTCTATGGTTGCTTAGCTCAGAATATCTGGTCTGTTTTAGGTCATGTTGGGACTCCAGTGGCTTGCAATTTTGTAAAGCTGGAAGACGTGGCTGACATGAACTACTTTTCAGTAAACAATGAAGGCGAGGTGGGTAGCTCATGCCCAGCACTCAGACAGTCAGAGTGGAGAGGCTTAGTACAAAAGGAACTTAGAGCTGCCATCTGGCTTGGCTTGGCCTCAACTTCTAGGAAGGAACACAAGATAGTGCACTGCATTTTCCTACAGTGGGGACGAAAGAGGCTCCACACTGTAGTGAAACCACCAAATGTGTTTGCTCGGAGCGGATGTTTAATAAGTAGAAGTAGTAGTCATTTTCCTTGTCTTCCTCCTCTTACTATCTGGCACACAGATCTGCATCAAAGGCAATAATGTGTTCAAAGGCTACCTAAAGGACCCGGAGAAGACACAGGAAGCACTGGACCAGGATGGCTGGCTTCACACTGGAGACATTGGTCGTTGGCTTCCAGTGGGTATTTCTTCATTACTTCTAGGAGTCTCTGCTGTGGGACTTGGGAGAATAATCTACTTGTTGCAAGAGGGGTAGGAATGTGAGTTTAGTCAGCTGGAACAGCTGCAGGGCACGGCAATAGGTCTGCAGCCTGCCTTTGTGTGCTTTTCTGAGTACAGAGAGGAGAGTACCAACTGAAAGACCCTAGCTTGGCGACTGGGAGACCAGTGTTCTGGTCCCAGCCCTTACGGGTTGAGAGGAGGAAGTGGCTAATGTGTGCTGAGAAGCTGCCAACGCTAGTCCTTACAGAAGACACCAGAATGAACCAGCTGGAAGGCTTTCTTTCTTTCTATATTTCTCATCAAATACAATGTGTACACTCTAGGTAGTGCTACTGATGCTGTGTCTCGATGCAACCCTAAAGTGGGATGCTTTAGGGTTAGATCACCCTGGACCTCAGAGTTGGCATGGTTTTCTTGCAGTGGAAAAGGCTGGCTCATGGCCAGGGAAAAGTTAGGCGACTTCTACTTATCTCAAGGTAGAAATTCTTGTTTGATAGCTTCATGGGCCTACAACTTTTTCTATTGTGAGTTCCAAAGATGTGTTTTCTGTCTAATTAATTCATGGGAACATATCAAAACAAAGAAATGAGATTTCCAGAGCATGTGTTTCCAGAGGTTCATGTCTGCCTTCTTTAGTCTCCCTCTGTGGAGACACAGACACTGCTTTACAGCCTGCCTCATTGTCAAAAATTGGCAACTGTCAACCCCATCTGTAGGAAACAGGGTCTCCTTCCTCCGGTTTTATCTATTAAGAGTTAGGGGAATGGGACTATACTTATACCTATCTCTTCAAACTCCTTTCTTGCTCATTATTCAAGATTTAAGAGAGATTCAGAATGCTTGACTAAAAAGGACACTTGACTATGAACACTCCCAAGAACACACGGTCCTCATGATGTACTTTATCGATTGAGTTTAATGTGTTTCTGCTTAATCAGTGCCCCCTGTTCTAAGTCTAGGATGCAAGCAATAGGTCTGGCTCTCCACATGGGTGATAAAAGGCTGTCCATTACTGATCACTTTCAGTATGAACGATGAGTCTGACTCTGATCGTCCCAGGGTTAGTTCAGTATAGAGCCCTATCTATGGTATGGTCATGTGGATTGTGTTTGCCCCTTGTCCCAATTCTACAATTCAAATCCCTAAGAAGATAAGCTCCTCAGAGAAATTAAGTTCAGGGAAACGAAGCGGCAAATGACCCGTGATGGTGGTCAGAGCACGGCCCGCCCTACTTCTGTCTTAACAAGCCCAGGACTAATCAAGGCTGGCGTGATTAGTGCATGCAGCTGTTTCAGCCTGCTCCCAGATGTAACAGGAAGTAAACATGATGGGGCGAGCAAAATCATTACAGTTTTGGTAAAAGATATCGGCTCCATTTCCCAGAGTTCTCAAGATGGAGTAGTTGGAAATATGTTAACAGAAATTGAGAGCTGCACAATGTCTTCATTGACTGAGGCATCCATGTGCAGAACCCAGCAGGTCCCCGGGACTTTCTCTGAGGCTTGCTGGTTGGCTTTCTATAGACAGGCTTTGTGGAAGCCACTTCTTATTTCTCCAAAGCCAAGAAAGAGAAACAACAGAAATCTCCAGAGAAACTATTTTAAATAAGGACATTATCTGTGGTTTTACCACCTTCCTGTGATACCATCTCTAAGGCTTCAACACAGATGCTTTTGTCTGCCTCATACAGAATGGAACGCTGAAAATCATTGACCGGAAGAAGAATATTTTCAAGTTGGCACAAGGAGAATACATTGCTCCAGAGAAGATAGAAAATGTTTACATCAGGAGCAGACCAGTATTGCAAGTTTTTGTCCATGGGGAGAGCTTACGGGTAACAAGCCATAGGGATGACCTATGTCGGTTCTCATAGCTATAGGACATTTGCATAGCTGGGTCCAGATAAGATACCCCAGCTTACTACTATAAAACTACATTCTGAGTCATAAATGTCCACGAAATAATTTGTTGGGGTTATTAAAACAAGTATTTTAAGGGGTAGCTTTTATCTCACATGACTTAGAGTCGGCTCTGAAGAGCTCCTTTGACACAAAACGATCTTAGGGGGCTGGAAATGGTGAGTTTCAACACCGATTGGCTGGGAATTCTAAGCATAATGACAGCTGCTTTTTGAAGAACCAGGCTTGACTAGGACATCTTCGTAGCTAAGTGCCGAGAGGGAGACTGTGTGGTGAGGAAAGCTGATGCCAGGTGAGCCGGAAAGTCTGACCTTTTCTGAACCCGTGTTCCTTCCCACAGTCGTTCCTGGTAGGAGTAGTGGTTCCGGACCCAGACTCGCTCCCCTCATTCGCAGCCAAGATTGGGGTGAAGGGATCCTTTGAAGAACTGTGCCAAAACCAAGTAAGCATGGTCCAAAATGTTCTCCACATAAGCACGGCTCAAAATGTTTTCTACGCAAACATGACTGAGAACATTCACTACCTAAGCCTCAAAATGTTCTCCACGTACGTAAGCATGACTGAGAATATTCTCCCATAAGCATGCCTGAGAAAGTCCTGCTGTGGCAGAGAGGAGGCCCTAGAGGCTGTGGCATCTCTGGGTTCTCTGAGCCTCCTCTCTGGACGGTATTCTTCCTGCTTCAAACTCTGTATCCTACAGACTGAAACATAGAACAGAGAATGCTGTTTTGTTTTCCTTTGAGGCAGTAATGTGCTGCTTGGGAGAGAAAATAAAACAAGAGAATGAAAACTGCCGTGCAGACAGAACCTGCTCGGCTCTGGGTTTACCTCTCCTCTTCCCTGTCTCCTTTGTGAAAGGCAAAGTACATGATGGAATGCACACGTTTGCTCTTGCTTAGCCTTCCATTGAAACCTCAAACACACGATTTGAGTGATATTTTCCATTTTAGAGTGTAAAGGAAGCCATTTTAGAAGACATGAAGAAAATTGGGAGAGAAGGTGGCCTGAAATCCTTTGAACAGGTCTGTACTGCTGATGCCATCCTGGTCCGAGTCTAAAGCTCCCACTTCTACTGGTTTCAAGCCTTTAACTTTCATGGACCTTATTTTAGATTTCTAGCTATGTATCCTCCCCCTCTCCCCCCCACCGCTGTCCATCATTCATTCTTCCTACTCCATCATCCAAATGCCCAGTATAGCTGGGCTGCTAGAATGCTTGCCTAGTATGCATGGGTTCAGTTTCTGGTGCTGCATTAACCTGACATGGAAGGGCACGCTAGTCACCTCAGCACTGTTTGGGTCGGGGGAGGAGGATCACAAGTTCAAGATCGATCTCTGCTATACAGCGAGTCTGAGGGCAGCCTGGACTGCACACGGCCCTGTCTCAGAAGGAACATGGGTCTTTACTTTCATAAGGTGAAATAAAGCTGGGAGTTTATCTTGGAGTAGTTGGGGCACTTTGCAGATGAAATGCCAACCATCGACATGTGCCCACCTTCCAGGTCAAAAGCATCTTTGTCCACCCGGAGCCGTTCTCCATTGAAAATGGGCTTTTGACACCAACACTGAAAGCAAAACGCGTGGAGCTCGCCAGATTCTTCCAGACCCAAATCAGGAGCCTCTATGAGAGCATCCCGGAGTAGCTGAAGGTACTTCCTGCCGAAGGATGCATTCAAAACTGCCCCTCCCTTCGTCCTGTCCTCACACCTGTTGTTCAGCTACCACACTATCCAACTCCAAGTTCTTAGAATGTGAGACTCTCCTGGCAGCTTAGATATTGCTGACATTTTAGGCCTTAGGGCTACTGTATCAGCATGCTGTTCTTCAGGGCCCCAGCTTGTGTTCTGTGTCACTTCCCCGTAATTGTCACCCTGGTGCCATCTTGATTACACTAGCCCTAGGGTCATGGGGATCCTCTAGGTAAGTGCCTTCTGTTTTATAAAACCCTGCTTGCCAGTGCTAAGCACTGACAGTGGTTCCCAGCTTTCCTAATGCTGTGATCCGTTCAAACAGTTCCTCACGTTTTGGTGACCCCCAATGGTAAAATGATTTCATTGCTGCTTCCTAACTGTAATCTTGCTACTGCTAGGAACTGTAATGTAAATGCCTGATTTCCACCCCCAAAGAGAGTCATGGCCCACAGGTTGAGAAGTGCTCTAACAGCTCGAGGTTTGAAGTTATAATTCATGGTTTTCAGGTACCCCATGAAACTACTAATTCAAGATTTAATCTATCACCCACACTAATCATATTTGTGAGACAAACTTCTACATACTTCTGTGTACATCAAAGTCTATGCAACGAAGGGTCTAGCATACAAAGCACTGCTTCAGGCCCCTAGGTAGCCTTCTGAGTGGGGACAGCCACATGGTAAATAGCGCTGAAAGCGAACATAGTTCTACAGGGTCATCCGCAGTGGCAGTTTTGACACTGTTTGTTCCCTACAGTTTGCTGAGCTGGAAACTGGAGGAAGAAGTGAACTTTTCCAGTAAATGAGGCAAGCATTGAGCTACTCTCCTGCACTGGGAGCAAAGATCTGTGGGCGAGCACGATGCTTGCACTGCAGGCCTGTCTTCTGCGAAGGAATTTCTGGATCTTTCTCCCTGAACTCCAATTCCTGCAGTGTCTTACTGTCAGAAAGCATGTGGTGCCTCTACTTGTAAATGTCAAATCTTTGAAATAAACTATTGCAGATATTTATGATGTGCCTGCTACCGTGTGGATTATGACGAGAGTCACGGAAAGTTGGGTGGTTCTTCACTGGACTCACTTGACGTGAGATGATACGATGACTCAGCACTGCTTGGGTGTCCCTGAGGTACACAGCTTTGTGGCCAGGTGTGGTGACATACCCACAATGACAACATTCAGGAGGTCAAGGCAGGCTCAACATTAAATAAACACTGCCCAGGATTGTTACAAGGTCCTCAGATGATTTTAGCATGCATGCAGCAAACTTGGGTAACCACTGGGGTAAACTGTTAGGCCCAGCTTCTCTAACCCCACTGCCCAGTTCTGAGTAAGAAAGCTGTAAACCAGGCCCATGCTCTAAGCATGCTAACGTTTTCCCCTTTACTACCTTTCTTGTATGTGCTCTCTCCCACTCTTTCTCTCTCTCTCCTTTAAAGATAGGGTCTCACAACAGCCCTGACTGGCATGGAACTTTCTATGTAGACCAGGCTGGCTTACAACTTAAGAAAGCCTCCTGCCTCTGCCTCTGGAGTGCTGAGATTAAAGGTATGTGCCACCAGGCCTGGCTGTTGTACTATAATCTTAACTTGTACTCCTTCTGGCTTCCAACTAAAATTTAGAATATTCATGGTTTTTCCACACCTTAGGCTCAGCAAGGCTGAACCAATATCTGTACTTGAAATTAAGGACAAGCAGCTTCTAGGGCCCTGGTGGTACAGACTTCTCAGCTCTGACTTCCCTTCCTATGTGCCCCTCACTCTAGATGACCTCAAATATGCAAAGCACACTGCAGTGTGTTCTTGCTATTTCTGTCTAAAATGCAGACACTTCCACAGGCATATGACTTGTCCCCTTCTCTGCTTTGTTAACTCAAGACCATGCTGCTTTCAAAATGACTGTCATCTGCTGCTCCTGCAATGGAATAAGTCATGTTTCCTTCAGTGCCAAGGCCCCAGGCACCTGTTTCTTACTCTTACCTACTACAAGTCTGGCAGCCCCGGAAGCCTCAAGTTCCCCAAATACAAAGAATTAAGGAAAGCTCAATTAGTTTACTTAAGAGCAGAGTAGCAGGCCTTCTCCTGTAATTCTACTCGCTGTTTTGACAAGCCCACCTTTAAGTTTAGATCTTAGTATTTGCACAAACTTCAGGGTTTGATATTAAAGTAGACACAAGCAATGTCCAGTGACTTTCAGTAGATGGAAAGCTGCCAATCTACCAACAACAGGGCTCATATACTGAACGGAATATGTTATGTCTCAGAACTCGAGTCATGATGTCAACTCTGCACACAGTAGCAGGGTAGTATTTCTATAAAGACGGAAGAAAAAAGAAAACACGTTTTTGAGTGAAAACTATAATTTTTACAGAACACCCATTGACTTTTATTGGATTTGACAAAATCTGCATTATTAAAAGTAACAAAATTTGAGTTCATATTGAAGTTTTATAGTCTCTAGATTATGAAAGAAATGTCACCAAGGAAGAAACAGAATAACCACATGCAGATGCTCCTGGCTAAGGGGAACTAGATCTGCAGGTAAAGTCGGGTGCAGCACAAAGAAATCCTACAGAAAGTGCGGTTTGCTCACTTGGCTTGAACGACTTTCCTTTGGTAGGGAGAAGTGGCAAGACGGCAGGAACTCGAAGGCATATGCAGAATGGCTTCTGTTTCAAAATGGTAATAAAAATATTTAAATCATGGCACTAGAGCATCTTTGAGGAAAAGAATACCTTAAGCAGAGTAGACTCGCTGCATAATTCTTGGTAATATGTGTGATTTTCAAGTAATGAAGACGTAATGATAGCACTTTCGCGGTGGCTATCTGTTCTTCTTCTCACCCTCTGGCGCTGGGTCTGATTCGCCATCACAGGGACACTTCTCCACACAATTCCTAGGGAACCACCCTCTTATCCTCGAAGTACCTGAAGGACAAAGTTATGCTATGGTGAAGCAGGCAAGCAGGACTGGGTGACATTCCTGGGAGCAAGTGTACTACTTGGAATGAAGACACGCTCAGTGAGACACCTGCTGTCCCTCACCAGTTCTCAGACACGGGTCAGGGAAAGTAAGATCTCCAAACACTTCTAACAAGCCAGGGTCCCGTCCCCCGGGAGAGCAGCCAGTGTAGTGTAGAAAGTACACAACTGAATGGGGTTAATAAACGGGTGACTGTTCCGGCACACCATTACACTGTGTTCCCAGGATGACCGTCCTAAAGCTTTTATCATTTCCTTCTTTTTCATGACAAGTTTTGCTATGCAGTTCAGGCTAGACTTGAACCCATGATCCTCTTGAATATTGGGATTACAGGCATGTGCTCCCAGCATACCAATTTCAAAATCCCCTAAACTGTCATTTACGGTTAATTTATGTTAATCCCAAGTATTTATTTTCTTCAAGAAGATCCTAGGTTCATCTTTACTTTAAAAAGGAAGAATTCTGAAAAATCAACCAGATTTCAGCCATAGCTTTATAAAAGGAATGCTCCCTTAAAGGGGATGCGGCCATGCACAGGGTAGCTGAGCCTGACTCCTCAGGTCTGGCTTACAGTTGACTATGAGCAGCTGCCTATGCTTCACCTCTCCCTCGGACAACTAAAGGGCAGTTCCTGTCCCAAGACGGCTGACAGGATTTATTGGATTAATTTTTAAAATTAGCATGCAAAGTAATGAGTTTCTTCATGGCAACTTTTATAAACTTTATCTTTAGTGGTTCTTTTCTTCCACCCCCTCCGCCATCTTCCTCTTAATCCCCACTACTGGTCCTCTTCCTAGTAATAACCCTTTTGCTTCCATGTTACACGTATGTGTATCCAATCACCTCTTTTAAAAATCATTTTTGGGGGCTGGAGAGAATACACAGCAGTTAAGAGTACTGACTTCTCTTCCAGAGGACCTGGGTTCAATTCTCAGCACCCACATGGCAGCTCACAACTGTTTATAACTCCAGTTCTAGAGGACCTAATACTCTTACACAGACACACATGCAGACAAAACACTAATGCATAGAAAATAAAAAATTATTAAAAATTGTTTTTCTATTTCTAGTTTAAACATAACCCAACCCACCCTCTAAAGTCTACATATTCAAATAAAAGTTGCAATTACTTGTGGGGCTCTGGCTTATTTTATTAACATAATGAATTTAACTTGCATCTATTTTCTTGGAAATGGCATTTCACGTCTCTGTACAGATGAATAAAATCCAACCCTGTTTATATACTGTATTTTCTCTACCCACCTGTCTGTGAGTGGACTTTAGGCTGGTTCTGTTCCTTAGCTACTCTGAACAATTCAGCAGTAAAGGTGTGTAAGTGTCTATGTGGTAAGGCCCCAAGTCATTTAAATAAATACTACAGACCAGCACACCTGAGGAATACAGCAGAGGAATACACCTGAGGAATTTGTTTTCTTCAGGAAGCTCTCCACTGACTGTCTAAGGGCTGTAGCAGACTACACTCCCAGCAGCAGTGGGTAAGGGTTCCTCGCCTCCACACCTTCCCAGATGTGCTCATCAGCTGCTTTCCTGTTGGCAGTTGTTTACTTTTCAGTGCTTGGACTACGTCATTCGAACCCTCAGCTTTTATGGTTACTGACAAGAGGTCTGATGTTATTCTACAGGTTTGCCTTTGCCATTCCCTTGCGGCTGTTTTCTTTGCATTATGACATCTTGATTGAGTTCTTCTTTGGCCATGACTTGGGTTCTACAGACATCTTGTGCTTGGCTGTCCATTTCTTCCTCTCAGTTGGGAAACTTTCTAACTTCACTGACTACATTGCCTATAAAATTTGAAATTTCCTCTTAGCCTGTGATTCTTAAGTTTAGTTTCTTGAATGTATCCCAGAGTTTTTAGAAGTTTTTGCCTTGCTGTTTTCTTTTTTAACGGTTGAGTGTGTTACTGTCTCAAGTCAAATGTCCCCAACAGCTGTTCTTCTGCCTGGTCTCTGCTATGCTTCCTTTCCAATGCTTTGGTTTGTTCATGACTTTTTGCTTGTCGGTTTGGTCTTTTGATTGGATCTTTCATTTCTAGCATTTCTGTTGGTCTCTTTGTCAGTCTCAACCACTTACTGATTTTTCTGGGCACTTTTAAATTTGTCTGCCAATGACCGAGTATCACTTTGGTACCTTTCGTGTTAGGTTCTGAGCTGGTTTCTCACTACTGTCCTCTGTTGAGTCTCCATGAGGGCAGTGATCCTTTCAAGAAGCAGAACTCTGCTTTCGTCCAGCGTTTCACTGTCTCCTCAGTCTTGGTTGCTGGTAGTGAGAAGTTGCAAGCTTGGGCAGGTATCCTAGTGGCTGTTGTCTGATGGTTTTATATTTTCATTTGTCTGTGCACTGGTTGGGACTATGTCATCCTCGTGTTTGTTTTCCCTTCCTCTGTTTTCCTGGTTCGGGTCTTACCTTGCGGCAGTGCTGGTGGAGATATACACTGGGAAAGCATAAGCTGACTTCAACTGTGTCCTTGATGAGGCCCGAGTCAGCAGCGCTGGGGTTCTGAATGGGGAAAATGGAACTTCCGGTTTTAGAGTAAGAGAGTCAGTAAGTAGGGAAATGAGCAGGGGATGGGGTGGGGAAATAGGAACGAGACAGAAAGTACCTGCTCTAAAGGTGAGAGAAATAACAGGGACCCCGAGGAGTAGATGCACAGAAAGGAAGCACCCGAAAAGTCTATTCAGGCAAGACACAGCTCCCAAACACAAAGGAACAACACAGCTCAGAAGCAGAAATAAAACAAAGTAGATGGAAACATGGCGTTCCAGTCTTGGTCAACGGTTGTTCCTAGCTGTCTTTTATAGGGTCTACGCATGTAGGGGCAGGGCTGCTAGTCTCCAGACTTCAAACAACTCAGTTGGTGTTTTCTTCCTGATGAGAGGCATTTCTGTGAGGAGTCTCATGTCCTGCTTGAAGTCCCAGGTCTGAGACAACTCCCCTACATCCCCACCAATTACATCTGTGGTTTTTGGATTCCATGTGCAAGGCTTTCTGTGATGAGGCTCTGAGCCAAATGTAGAGTTCTTTTTCTCAGCATGCCTGCCAGAAGACTTGCGGCTCACAGTGCGGGGCAGGGCTATGCTTCTCATGCAGTAGCTCTGGGTGTCCACGAAGACTCGCAGCTTCAAATTCAGACTTCTGTGCCAGACTTCTGTCTCCACACCTGCCATATCCTGGTTATCTCTCCACAGACCCTAGTTGCATGTCCAGAGCAGAGACCTCCAGCTCATTCTGTGCACAGTACCCATGCCTACGAGGGGACAGCACCTTCATGGAAGTTGTTGGTTAGGCCCAGAATAAGCAGCATGGTGCTGCCTTGGCTGCCTCCGCAGAGAAGATCAGACCTCGCTTACTCTTTCTCCAGCTGTTTCTCTTCTGGGAATAGGGTCTAGTGTTTTAATATTGAGTCTTTTCATGGGGTCATGCCCAGGTGCCATCTAATCTGCTAAATTACCCATAGGTGCCTACTGGGGACTTTATAAGTATCTGCCACATAGTCACATAAGAACTTGTATGCATGCTATTAACGCAAAGACTGGGTAGACATAAGTACTACAGAGAGACATCTAAAAAGTATTCTTATATATCTACACAGTTCCCTAATGTGTTTTACGTGTAATTACGCATAAAAGTTCTTCTTACAGAATTTGAAGTTATTGCGAATAATCACATACTTTAAACATACCCTTCCATTTCCATACCTTCTATGAAGGAATCATCGAGAATTTTGTCTCCGTACAACCAGTACCTGAAATATTTAAAAGATTAAATTAAATACTTTCGAAGTTCATGTCAAGTTTCACATTAAAGAAATGCAACATTCCCATCTCTTACCGCAACCCTCTTGTTGCTAAAATGAGCTCCCCTTTCTGCAGCTGTATCCGAGGCTCCTCTGTGCAGGGGCTTGTGAAAAAGGTTTTAATTCCTCTGTTCAAAGGACAACAGGCACCATTATAATCTTCTATGACTTTATAGCGAACCTGCCATCAGTGGTCAGAAGAACAATCTCAATATTTACCATATTTGAATTTTTTCAAGCTTAAACAAAAAAAAAAAAATTGAAGGTCACATCCAAACTATTCAGTGATAAAATGTCTCTCCCACCATTTCCCACTTCCAGGAAGAGATGATGATCCTTGTTCTCAGGCTGTCTGATCCATCATTTCAAGCACACACCTGCTAAAAATATCTGCAGAGTGCCATGTCCAGGAGAACTTTCTGCAATGATGGAAGTGTCTGCATGACTCTAGGTGTGGCCTAGAATGGTTGCTAAGTAGAAACTTGCAGCTATAGAGTGCTCATACTGTGGCCAGTATAAACAGGAACTTAACTTTAACTGTATTTACTTTTAATTTAGACTTCCTTCGGCCATAGGTGGCATAATCTCTACCTGTCAGTGTGCTTGCTAAGTGGTTTCAGCAGCTGTACTAAAGGTATTTTTCTAGGTTGGCAATGCACAATGCCTAACTGCTTTGGAAACCTCCTGCTAAAACGAAGTACTTTAAAGAAAACAAAAGTAACAGTATGTGCTGGTCAAGGTGCCATAGGCCTTTAAAGCCAGCTCTCAGAGGCACAGGAAGGTGAGTTCTGAGTTTAAGACCAGTCAGGGATATGCAGTGAGACTGTCTCAAAAACATTGAACTGTATCAGATTTCAACAAATATAAGGAAATATTTATCACTGCAGCCCACATGGTAAAAGGAGACTCCCATGAGTGACTGTGCTGAACACGTATACACAGTATAAAAATAAACACAATAAAAGGAAATAATATTTAATAAAAGCCAATTGTCATAAGATATGTAGAAACACAGTGTCCAACTAGAAAAAACACGAATCTACACCAATGCAAACAAATACTTACACTTCTGACTCTTTTGTCTGCCTTTTGTTTCAGCTGTTCTCTCTGTTTGAAAGACAAGAGGAAAAAGACTAAGCAGTCTGTCTCAGTGGTGAACAGTCTCTCCCCTCCAGAAGGGTAACCCCGGTTTCTGGCGCTTTAAATTCTCCTTTGCATACTGCTCCCTAATTCTGGTGCCAGCTGAGCACCTGAGGAGTACACAGAGGGGAAGACTCCAGTGAGCGGATTCTGAGAAGAGCTCATTCCAGACTGCAGCTCAACAAATGTGTTCCTGTAAAGCTTCTAGGCTGAGTCTTACTGAGTTTCTAACAGACAAACTAGAAAACTCATTATTAATGATTCTCGACTAAATAATTCTTGTTCCTTTCCCTCTTTAATCAGCAACTACAAAGTAGAACCATGTTAGACATGACCAGGGAAACATGGAAAAGAATGAAAGATGATTCCTGAGCTACATACAAGACTGTGGCATGTGGCTAGTGTCCGAGAAGGATGGGATCAATTGCTCAGAGAGATGGGGCAGCTCGGCAAGCTGGGGGCGTTAACAAAGTAACTGCCAGGAAAGAGGAAGGCCTTTTGAACAAACTACTTACTGTTAGGCTATACTGGTCACAGCCTTCTCTTACTCGCCACTCCAGTCCATCTCCTTCAGGGACTCCTGACCATGTAAATACCTGCTTAAAATTCGTCCATTTACTTCCCATATCATAAGGAAAAACAAAGACTTCATCCAGTTGATAATACTGAATTCGATCTTTAGCCTGTGGAAAACAAAGGTATAAAATGACAGCTGCTTCTGCCTGTAGTGGTTACTAATATGTTACTGATAATACTCATGTGTGAAATTTGTATTATTGATAAAAATACTTTCTTATTGCTGGAATATTAGCAGTGGTGACAGAGAATATAGTTTTATCACAGTATAGAGGGGGATTGACCGAAAACTTGTTTGTGATACCTGATAAAGCATGACTGGGTGTGTCTTAGGAACAAGCATTCAAAAGATTTATAAATAAAAGAATTAGCTAACTGGCTGTATCCTAAGCAGAACAACCCTCAATTCCTCTAGTTGCTTAGCAGCACAAGAGAGTTAAGGTTAACAAATACGGGAGAAAGTGTGGGTTATGGTTAGCCAATAGCCAGGAAGGGCTAATAGGGAGGCACTATTTTACAAAAAAACATTTTGCAATGCTGGTGAAGGAGACTTCGTGTTTTTGTATCAGGCATACACATACACTTTATCTTCATTTACACATGCATATTCTGATGGCACAGCTTATATTCTAGGCATTTAAATGGTTAGCTTTCTCTAGAAATAAACTAGCTTTAAATTTGTTAAAGTCTACTGCCACCTAGTGGTACAAACATACAGTATACAGTATTTAACTCTAAAGCAAGTGCAGCTCTTCGGCAAACACTCAACATTAGTATCTGGTAATCATATACATTTTTGATAAGTTTTATTTCATTATTTGAAGCTTTGTCTGTCAACGGACAGTATTTTATATAAAAGTTTCTTGTAGTTACTTATAAGGTAACATGGGTGTTAGCTATTTATGGAAACAGTTAGAACTATGATACAAATTTACTGAATTTTATAACTCAACCTTCACCTAAATAACAAGAGGGTTAATCCCCCCCTTTTTTTTAATAAACAGAAGCTTCAGGTGTCTGCAGTCCTGCTCAGTGATAAATCATCTGAAAATGACAGAGACTCTTTAACATGGACTGAATTTCAAAACCCCAAATATAGGCTACTTAAAAAAGAGAGAGGAAAGGAAAGGAAAGGAACGGAAAGGAAAGGAAAGGAAAAAGGAAAGGAAAGGAAAAAGGAAAGGAAAGGAAAGGAAAGGAAAGGAAAAAGGAAAGAAAAAAAGGAAAGGAAAGGAAAAAGGAAAGAAAAGGAAAGGAAAAAGGAAAGGAAAAAGGAAAGGAAAAAGGAAAGGAAAAAGGAAAGGGGAAAGGAAAGGAAAGGAAAGGAAAGGAAAGGAAAGGAAAGGAAAAAGATGCCGTACATGAAAAGGGAACACAGACACATGGTGTGCTTAGAGGAGAGGAAGGAAAGTGGACCTGACCAAGCTTAGAGAGTAAGGAAGGATTCTGGAGGAAATGACATCTAAACGGTATCTTGAGGGGCAGCAAATCAGGCACAAAAAGAGGTAAAGAGTATTTCAGGCAGAGAAAAAAAATGTGAAAAAGATAGAGAAGTATAAGATCCACAAGCTGTGAGAAGGAGATGAGGCAGTGGGTAGGAGAAGAGACTGGATAAGTGAAGAAAGGGCAGCACAGACAGTCTCATGACGGGGCTATGGGGCTAAACTCAGGTCCACAGTGGTCCAAAGCCTTTCTCAGGGTAGAAGGACAAACTTCTCATAACAGACTATCCTTACATTTGCAGTAGTAGGTAAAACTGCCAGCATCTTAGGAAAAAACTGGCACAATCCTGCAAACGTACTCAGCCTTTCTTTAGATTCTATAATTCTGGATCCAACCAATCACGAATGAGGAGACTGTACCTGAGACAGACATGAGGGTGTGCACCTACGACCCCTGAGGCAGACACGAGGATGTGTACCTATGACCCTGAGACAGATACAAGGATCTGTACCTATGACCCTGAGACAGATAC